GTCTGGGAGCTATGAGTTCCAGATGTAGCTGGAGATTAGGATGCGAGGGGTGGGGGTGTTGCAAAGGGCCTTGTCTCACATCAACTCAGAGTTTTATGTTGACTTGACAGGGACTTGAACAGCAATGTAATGGCAAGAAGCGGTTGATCAATAGGATCAGATTTGAATCCAAGAACCCTTGGGAAGGCAATAGAGAAGATTAACTGGAAAGAGTTGTGATATAACATTGAACTTCCAAACCAAAGTATCAAATATGTGATCCCAAGATTATTCCTACCTTCCTTATCACCAAGTATAAATATTTGAAACAATGTCCGAGATCAAATGCAAATTTAAAGAAACATGGCTGAGTTGGATACCAGATTGTAGGGTCAGGTCAGTGTTGGGCTGATTGGGGACCCTCAAGAGGTAGCACGGTGGTTGTGATGTTACCCCCTTTTGTGGACAGTGTTGAGGAGTCATACCATAGAATGGCCTACTACAGCACACAGAGGCTATTCTTTTGACTACATTTTGTTCTTATTCTACCTGAAGTCATAGCCCTTTCATTTTGAGCCACTGTTGCCTAAAAGAAGAAAGAAAAAGCTGTTTAGAAGGACACAATCCCAGCATGGATTCTTTTCTTTCCTATGGCTTAAGGAATACCAGTGGTAATAATAATTACCATTATGTGTCTGGCACGTGTCAGGAGCTTTGTATAAATTCTTCCAATAGCCTTTAAGGCATAAGCTGACCCCCTATTATAGATGAAGAAGATAAAGTTTAATGAGTCACTTGCTCAAATATCTATACAGTAAGCGGTACCACCTCGCAGTGGAGAGCCAGGGTTTAATCCAGGTTTGTCTGACTCTTATACCAGTGTTTTGTTTTGATTTTTTTTCTTTTACTGTATCATGTTGCTTCCATGAGAGGGTACCGTTCCCAAGGTGGGGGCAAACCAAAACTCTGCCCCCAAATCTTGCATAGTTTTCTCCTTCTGAGCCACTTCCATCTCAACTTGAAAGGCAGCTCCTCAGATTCCTCCCCTAAGCATCTAGTGACAGCCCCACCTGCTTACTTTATTAAAGTTTATTCAGACTCCTTTGAGGGCTTATCAGTATTTACAGTTATTTTGTTACATGTTTCATGCCTGCGATACATATGAGGACTGTAAGCTCCCTCGCAGCATCTGCAGCATGGGTTCAATTCCCTGCCGGCCAGGGATATACCCACATGGCGCGGCAGATCTCTCCTGTCTCGCCCGCTGCTCCCCTCACCAGTGTATTTTGGTCAGGCCCGTCTGCCTGTTCTGCTCCCCGCCTCTGTCTCTGGTGAATCCTCTCACCCTTCTGCGCCTCTGACCTGTACCCCAGTTCTTGTATAAAAATAAGTAAATCTTTGAAAAAAAAAAAAAGATTAGGCTCTGCATGTCTTACTGTTACACCCCTACACAGAGAAGAGTATCTAGCACGTAGCTGGTGCTCAGTGTTTGCTGACTGACTTTCCCTCTCATTGACAGCTACAAAGGGGTGTTGATTCTCAGAATGAATGGTAGATTCTAGATAGGATTTTCTATAGAATTCAACAATATAGGTGATTGAAATCACCTTTTCATGGTCTCATTGCTAAGCATCTGTCATTTCTTTCCAGGACATTACAAGGAAAGAACAGAATAGTATGTATAAAGCACTTACTGCTCTTGTCTGAGCCCATACTAAATTTCACTCTCATCAGTCTTCAAAGTTACATTAGAATAAGATAGAAAGGTAGCTCATTTTCCAAGATACAATTTCCTTTAATGGTAGATCATAAATTGACTCAAATTCTAATGAGTTTCAGACAAATACTTGTGGCTACTGAACAAATCATGAATATAAGCAAGCACTGAATATTCACCAGCAAAGTTATTGGCTGACCGTGATACTTAGGTGCCCTCTAGCGTGTGTGAGTTTTCACATCAATTCCTTGCTTCACACATCATGTGATTAAGATCCGTGATGGACTCGGAGGTAATTTTTCCAAGATAGACAATGATCTGTCTGATCAACAGATATATGAGAAATGGCAAAAAGGTTGTGCAGCAATTCAGAAATCAGTAGTTCTACTCTGAGCCATTACTTAGAAGCATAACATGCATTTTGGTGACTGAGAACCAGGGGTGTGCATTTACAAAGGTTTTGACAAAATGTTGTATATTATAAATTCATAGACATGGTTCCAAAATAAGAGATATGAAGTGCAAAGTAAAAAATTGAGCTCCCATCATGTGTCCCCTCCACCCATTATAAACCATCTATGTAGTCTTCCAGTTTTTTATGCATACCTACTAACAAGTGATTTTTTAATTTATATTATGTATATTTTTATTCCTCCCCACTTTTTAATACTGGGTATATATTGTGCTACATCTTTTATTTCTCTCTTAATCCTGATTAAAATTTTCCATAACAGTTTATGAAGAACATTCTCATTTTTTGGTTAACAGCTCTAGTATAGTCTATGTGGATATAGCAGTTTGTTTACATACTCTCCATATGATGGACATTTGGATAGTTTCTAATCTTTTGATATTACAAAGAAATGAATGATCCTATACAGGAGTTATTCTGCACACACATAAGTAGGACAAATCCCTAGCTATTTTGAAGATTGTAAATAAATATAAAGCATAGTTTCTGCCTATAAGGGAACATGTAATTGGTCTTGGCAGAAAAGACCTGTATACATTTCATATATAATAATTCGAAAGGAACATATTACTTTATGCTGCTGACTGTAATCCAATAAAACAAGTTACATATATCATTCTATCCCTGTTAGATCAAGCTAATTTCGCTCCTTTTTAACAGAATAGGAGTAAGATGAGGGAAATGCATGTCAGAAAATGAAAAAACAATTTTGAGTACAATAACTAATCATCCCTTAGACATTTGATCCTGCAGAATCTGTGGACAAGGTCAATGGCCACTTTAAAGAATAATTCTCCAGCTTAAAGACTGAGCAAACCTAAAATACTTTAAAGTTTCCTCCTTGGCATAATGAAAATTAGGCTAAGCAATTTCTGACATTTGTCTCTTCCCAATATTGTTTAGTAAATTAAATTATAACTACTAAGAAAAATTAGCATTTAAGAAATCAGCAATTAGAGAGTTTATAATAAAGCTCTTTCCCCTTTTATTACTAGAAATATAACTATTTCTTTTGGCCTTATTATTTGTTTCTAGATCAGCTTCTATTGAGAACATATTTAAAAGTAATGAAAAAATATTACTCTAGCATGGAAGAAATTAGTACCTAGAAACATTTTTACACACATCGGACTGTTGGGCTTTATATTTTTAAATGAGCAGTCAAGCAAAATTCAAAATTTCACATAAGTTTTATGAAACAAAGAAGTGCAGTAACACCCAAAGTTAGTAAAAAATGTCAAAAATGCTTTAAACTAGCTATTTGTTTTGATAATTCAGCCAAATATACTACACCCATTCCTTTGTTTTGTTATTAGTTACAAAGGCAAGGATGTGACATTATTTTTTTTTAAGATTTATTTTCATTTATGCATGCAAGAACTGGGGTGTAGGCCAGAGGTGCAGAGGGAGGGGTGAGAGATAGCGTGGGGAGCAACAGGCAGATCTACTGAAATACACTGCTGAGGGGAGCTGTGGGGGAGACAGGAGATGTCTACTGAGCCATATGGTTTAGCACCCTGGCCGGAGTTCAAATTCATGCCGCAGTGGCTGGCGATAGCTTGATAGCACTGAGACTAACACTTGCGTCACCAGGGAGGCCATAATTCTTTAAGACCAGAATGAGAGATGCTGAATCAAGAGGAAAAATCACAAGAGTTCATCATACCTCATCTTTCTTATATCATCAGAAAGTCTTTTGAGTTTGTTTAGGTTAAAGTACTTTACAGATTTCCCCACCATCTGAAAATACAGTGTTATGTGGTGTGATTTGGCAGGTTTTTTTTGGAAGGGGTACACTCTTAATATTCATTTATGTGGAATAATTTTCAGGGTTCCCACATTCCAAAATAACCTATCAAATGATACCAAATAGTGACACTTCACTTGTAGATACCAAGGGAAACCTGTAATACCAATTTGGATTTAGAGTAGTTCTGAAGGCTTCAGTTTAATGCAATACCCCTGCCTCATATCTGAAAATGATCCCACATTAGTTGATGAATTGCAAGTTGTTTCAATAAAGGGGACGGATGCACTGATCTTAATGCTTGTTTCCACAAATGTACCCACTAGGAGGTAGACTGACATGATCTTTATGTGGGTCCATGAAACAGATTCAAGTTTATTGGCTAACTGGTACCCACCATCTAGGATAGAATTTAATCCTTAACATGATCAGAGGAGAAAGAGAGGACACTGAGTATTCTAGTTTTATAGATGGAGAGATTAAGGATTAATTCTATCACATCATTTGCACAGGATAATAAAGGACAGTGCAATGATGATCAATGGGAGCTGGAAATGTAATAGAATCACTTGGATAATTCAAAAAAATAACCCATGTTTTAAACCCTGCCCCACTCCTACCATCATGCAGAATCTGAATTGAAAAATCGCTTCTGGAGATGAGTTGTTATTCCTGATATATCATGTTATTACCAGTGTTTTGGAGGCATTTACCAAGGTTGAACACCAGTGCTGAAGGCAGATACCTCAAGGAATCAAACCCTTAGTCCTGCAGTTTGTCTACTGGAGTATGCAGTTTTTGAAAATTCTATGAATTTCCTTGAATGGAAACAGTTTGGATATGATAATGGATTATCAGCAATCACAGTACACAGACGGCTTTCACTTTGCTCTTAAGAATTTGGGGACTCATTCCCTTGATTTGTCAAAGAGGGGCAATGTCTGGGGTGCAGGGGTTAGTTTGCTCAACCAGCTGGTTATGGTGACATCATCCCCCCAAAGGATATCCAACCATTTCAAACAAAGGCAAATTCCAGTTTAGTGTTTCAGGAGAGATTTTTAAGTAGCCACCATGTACGTACATACCTGTTCGAGGTGAGTTTCGCCCCTTTTTCTGTTGTGAAGTTGAAGGTAAGAGTCCATTTTAGGAGTGGGTAATCCCAAAGTCAGCTTGTTTTTTTCCACAAAATAGTGTTTGGACTTCCTTCGCCGAGGACCACGTGATCCTGGCAGGAAAACCTCATTATGTGAACTTGAACTCTTCAAGTACCCAGAGAGGTTGCTGGACTCCTCCAGATCACTGTCACTCAGCTCAGAAAATGGCTGGCTGCGGTGGGGGGCGCTGTGCTCATAGTTTGGGCTTACAAATTCACTGCCAAGTAAGGAGACCACACTCTGAGGGCTGTTCTTCTGCTCGCCTTTCCCCGCTGAGAGCACCATTGAGGTCTCCTTCGAAGGGTAGAGAGGATCCAGAGTCAGATTTTCTGTTGAGCTCTCCATAGACTCGGGCAGGGCTTCTATGGTCAACAGCTGGACCTCTTCTTTCTTATTCTTCCAGTTGGGGTCATATCGGAGGTCTGAATATTTGTCTTCTATTGGTTGTCGGCTGCCCAAAGCACAAAAGAGATTATTTTCTTAAGCAAAATAGATTTACACATTGCATTTAGTTGATCATTTTATTTGAAAGCAATGTCAACCTTTCTCCTAAAAGTTTCCTCATCCCATTGTTATGTTCAAGGTATAACCTAGGCCTGCATTAGGCCTAAATGCTACACATAACTTGGTTTTAACTAACCAAATTGATGGGTAAATGGAATAAAAATGGGGGTAAAGTTAATTTCTTTTTTAAAATTTCTTTTTATATATTTATGCGTACAAGAACTAGGATGTAGGCCAGAGGTCCGGGGGGTGAGAGAGTTCACCAGAGACAAAGTGGGGAGCAGAACAGGCAGATCTACCAAAATACACTAAGGGGAGCATTGGGTAATACAGGAGAGGTCTGCTGAGCCACATGGGTCAGCTCCCTGACCACGGATTGAACTCTTGCGGCAGTGACTGGTGATAGCTTGATAGCTCTGAGACTTTAAGCCCTGCGCCACCAGGGAAGCCCAAAGTTAATTTCTAAGTGTAGAAAACAATGAAAAATAGATAGTTAATATCTATAATGCCAAACCAGGGAATCAGAGGTTCAAGCAATGCTATTACTTATGTAGACCATAAGCCTTTCAGCTGGTGAAGATAAAATGGACTTCACACTTCAGCTGGTGACAGACACATTGGGCTGTTTATCTAGGAAGTGTGTTGTCACTGCCATCTGAAGCAAAAACATTTGTCTCAGTCTGCCCTCTTTTCAGGGGATGATGGGAAGCAAGATTTATTTCAGCTGAATACCTACATAGTTTTACCCTCCTGCTCGGTGATTTTACTTTTCGCTTTGTTTTGCCTTTGTGTATCTTAAAGACGGCACTACAGAATGATCCCCGCTATTTAGAATCCGGTGGTAGCTCCTGAAGGGCTCTTGGCTCACAGTTGCTTGCTTGTTGGGCAGATAACCCAAAAGTCAGTGTGCACGTTAGCCCTGGTCAAGTAAAAGGTGAAGCATGAGGTCCTGCCAGAGGGACATGAACGAGGTCTATAATCAGTGTGAGGGCCCCAAATAAAATCCCCTTTTCCCAGGACAATCTCAATTTGTAAAGCACCGCCTAGCCTTAACCAAAAATGAAAAAAAAAAAAAAACTGGTAATACGGCATATTTAATGGCCCCTTTGATCTTCAAAAGCTAAATGGGAGAGATTTTCCTTCCTTGAGTACAGTAGATGCAATCCTCTAATCAAAAAGAAAATGTAAATCACCTAGGCTTTTTATGCTATTTGATATTCCCGTTTACTGCGGACATAATTTTATGCTGGGTAAACAAACTAATGGTGCCCCTAATGCTAATTTATTCTTCTTAATGTGGACCTAGACTTCTTTGATTAGATGGAAAGCAAGAACTGGAGCAAAAAGCCAAAGCTCCCATGTCTTGCTCAGTTGTCATTTTGAATTTTTAGTTCATATATTAAGATGGAAAACTTCTTAGAAGAGGAGTTCTTCCTTTTCCACCAGGGAAGAGAAGTAATATTCTCGTCCAGCAAAATGCCTGTATGGAGATGGTAACATTTGTCAGGAAAGGGTGTGTGGAGCTGTATGTCTCACTGTCCCCTCCCCACGCCAGGGCACCTGACCTGGGCTCTGATGGGGGCACTTTCTCCCATGTGAACACATAGCGCTTTCTGGCCCTGCCTTTCACTTGGCTCTTAGGGTTACTGGGTATGATCTGGGTACAGTCTGGATTGGGGACTGGATAGACCTGAGCTTAGGTTCTGGGCTTGTCACTACCTGTCTGTGCATCACCTGGTAAATCCGTGTCATCTCTGAGTCAGTTTCGCTCATACATGAGTAGGGATAAATCTTATTGTTTATTTCTTGGGATTGCATAAAAATCAAAATGAGACTCTGTATCTTAAAGCTCTTACTTGCATCTATTTCACTTTGGTAATCTTGCTTCCCCATCTAGTGAAGGCCAGGGCAGCTGGGAAAGGGGTTTACTCTTCCATCCCTAACCTCTGTCTTTACTCTTAATTGTCCGGTGGGCAGCGGAGTCAATGAATGTTTCTTGAATAAGTAACTTAACCTCTCAGAGTATTGCAGTCAGTGCAAATCTAGCATTAGATTTATATATTTTAAAAACAATGTCAGTTGGTGGTGGGAATTTTAAAGGGACTACACCTGGGAGGAGAAAGCACATACATTGTACAAAAATGAGCAATGATGTAAAATATAAAAAAAAGTGTCAATAAATTAGAATCTAAACGTGGAAAAGAGCTTCTTGCATTGAGCCAAATTGGTAAATGATTTTAGGGCTTATTTTGTACTGAGTCAAACATAAGTTTCAACTGTAGTTGCTTAGGTGGGAAGAAAACAATTAGAAGTATCTCAATTACATCTTCAAATAAAAATAAAAAATTTTTAATGAAGATTTTTTTAAATGGGAAAATATAGGTATTTTCCTGTATCTGTAATATGCTGAAAAAAAGTGCATTTAACTTTGCTCTTTCATTTGCTTACTCACTGATTTTTTCAGATGTTTATTGAGCACTTACTAAGTCAGGGACATACAGTGGGGGACTTGCAGCCTAAAGGGGCATACAGGCAAGGAAATAAGCCATTTAATGCCGGGATGCTGAGTATCCAGATGGGAATATGGGGCCAGCCAACCTTGGGAGGGCAGGGAAAGCTTTCTGAAGAGGTGGCTTAGCTGACACCTAAGGACAGAAAGGGCATGCTAGCCTTGGGAACAGCATGTAAAAGAATAGAAGGGAGGAGAATGTGGGGCTTCTAAGAACAAATCCTGTATGGATAAAATGGAGGGTGAGAGGAGGGAAAGTTGAACAGAGGTGAGATCTTGAAGGGTTCGGTTAACTCTGGGGGAGTTTGGCTTGAGAGTTTGGATTTAATTTGAAAGTGAGACTTCTAGTAAGACATATGTACTTCTGAATAGCCAGGGTGATAGTTTTAGTAAGGGATTATCTACAGAGGTGATAGAGTCTCTGAGGGCAAAGTTTTAGAACAGGTAGTCTTCTGCACTAAAGCAGAGGTTGGCGATCTTAAAAGTGACACATTGTCCCATCGAGGATCACTGTTCCACCCCTTTGTCATGGGTGGGATGTGAAGAGCTGACTTTGGGACAACACCACAGTAGGACTGCATGCTCGCCTATGGAAGCGTACGGTGAACCTCCAGTGAACCCTGTGAGGGAGGTGCAATTGTTATACCCATTTAATAGATGAAGAAACTGAGATTACAAGAGCAGATATCATTTTCCCAAGGTGGCAGAACTAACAGGTGGCCATCTGGAGGTCTGCTCTGGCCCTGGCCCATGAAGTGGCCCTTGTTTGTGCAGCTCTTCCTCTTCCTTGTTTGTGCAAGCGCTGGCGAGGGCCTGCCTCGTGTGAGTTAGTAAATCTGTCCATCAGTCAGTTGGCCAGCCAGCGAATAGCACTGGGTAGCTCCCCAGGGACTGAGAGCTGAAGATAGAGTGGTGAATAAAATGGAAGCAGGCTGATAGAGCTTGCCTGCTAGTGAGGAAGACGGGCTTTATGCACCAACTTTAATGACCACGTTATGAATCTGATGCATAAAGAAATGCAGGATGTAATGGGTATTTAAAATAGGAAGACTATTACCACTGAAAATGTTAATCTTCTATTTCCAGATTCAGTTGCTAGATGATTATCTCAAACTCTGTTGTTCCAAGATCCAGCAATGAACTCACAAAGGAAACAATAAGGAATAGCCACTATTCTAAAAAAGTAGTTAGTCTTCAGTGATTGCAGGAAGTGGTTTCCTTCCTTTCAATGACTTCCCTGACTTCCATTGGTCATACTGGCTGATCATATTTAACCAGCATCCACTGATAATGGCATAATGCCCATTGTCATGGTCAGAGACCCTTCTTGGGGTCTCTGTGGTGCTCCATCTTTATAACATGGAGTATTTTGTGTCAGGGAAATGGCACAGCAGAGTGTCTCAGAGGTAGGGTTGTAGATTCAGACTGTGTTATACTCAATTCCTGGTGTCCCAAGTCACAGCAGGAGTGTGGGCAAGTGACTTCACTTCTCTGTGGCTCAGCATCCTCATCCATAAAATGGGTGTAATAATGTTGGAGAGGATAAAGCAAATGAATATATATAAATGCTTAGAACCATGCCTTAACACAGAATGAGGGCCCAAAACAGACTCCGTCACTGGTCTTTGTGCGCTAAGTGTTATGATCGGTTGGGTGTTGTGATTGTGTATTGTGCTTGCTTCCTGCTGACGATCTCAAGGGATTCTTACCTCCCTGGAGCTTAACTTATTTCCACGGCACAACATTACTTTGTGATGCACTACATTAAGTGGCACCTTGGTGACCTGAAGGAATTAACATTTATCTTAAAAACTCCAATACTGTGTCATGACTTAAGCAGTGTGGAGAATCTGTTTGAACTATAATTTAGGAAATAGGATTAAGAGAGGCAGTGTTTCTGCATGATGAGATATCTTTTAAGGACTGCTGAAAGATGATGAACATGATAAACCTAGGAGAGTGAAAATTACTTTAGACTTTTGGAAAGGGCTGTGATTTCTAACCTCCACAGATTCCCATTCTTAAATGTCCACAGGAATAATAGCACGTGCTACTGGAAACACTGGTGTTTTAAGGGGAACATAGAAAATAGAGGATTTTGAAATACATCAGATAAAATGAATTGCTCTGGCTGAGAAAAATGTTTTTGAACCACTTGTTGAAGAAAAAGTCTAAGAATATATATACAAGGTTACAATCTGGAAATGCGGCTCTTCTAAAAGAGCTTTAAATACGCTGCACTACTTACACCTGCAATGACTTTAAATTTCCCCTTTCTAGATGGAAACCTGATGTTGAAACAAATGGGAGGTTATGTTTTGCAAAATCATGAGCATTGACGAGCTGTAATACTTCACAGGAACAAATGTAATGGTTGAAATAGGACATGATACTAAAGGACCCCCTTGTACTGAGCTTGCATGCTAAGAAGCTCAATT